TTTAAAGGCCATTTACAAAATTTAGTTTCATATCTAATTAAATTTACTTTCACTGAAACTGAATACTCGTTAAAAAATATTTTATAAATTTGAAACTTAAATAATTTATATATTACGATAATTTAGTAATTGGATTCATACTGAAAAAAATTGTCTTTGATTGCAATTAATTAGAAATTTGTTATTATGGAAGTAAATTTTTCAAGATTTTAGTCACCAAGTTCACTGATGAAGGTTCATAATTGAATTTGTCAATCAAAAGGAATGAAATGTGTGATCAATAGTTTTTAAAGGAAAAAAACCTTAATTCACTATTAAAATTGAAATAAAATGTTAAATATCGCAAGATTAAAGCGCGTGAGGTAATTCAAGTCCCTTCAGTGCTGAGCCATTTCGCAAATGTAATTTAATTTCTAGCTGCGATTCTCAGCGGCAGGAGTGGCAAAAAGTAATAAGCAATTTCACCCCTACGCCCCTGGCTGTTTCTGCAACTCGCACAGCACAATGCCCCCGCTGCGAGTCGCGATTTGCAGCTTTTTGCTTGCGAGTGGGAAAATTTATCGCCCTAACTATGCAAGGCTGTTTAACCCTAAAAGTTAATTTAAATCAAGCGGCAAAAAGCCGCCGCCGCCACCCGAAGAAAGGGCGAAGCGGAAAACTTAATGGCGGCCGTCGGAGTTTCTTCGCGTAATTCACTGCCAACTTTTCCACTTCTTCTCGCTCCAGCATTTAATGCACTCGCGAGACCGCCCTTTGCTCGAGCTGATTACTTTATTATTACGATCTCGCCGCATTCAAAGTGGAAGGAAAAACTTTCAAAAGTTGTTCTTATTTCTTCCTTTTTTTCGCAAATCATAAATAAGCAAAAGTCTCGTTGTAAACAATTTTTCTTAAGAAGAGCAGCTCTCCAATTTGGGGAGAACTTTCCAGTTGTGCAAATTAAAAAGTTTCCCGGCTCCTTTTCCGCTGCAATTTCGGCGCGTTATTGCTCGAGTGCGGGCGGCCCTTTCGCCCCGGCGGCGCTAATGGCTTATATGGCGCTCTCCAAGCTCCTTGTGGGGCGGGCGCGCGTGCAGAAAACGCTATTTAGCTGCATACCACGCCGAATTTTTCCCTTCAATTTCGATTAATGCGGCCTATTACGCTGCATGATGACTCTGTTTTTAGTGCTCTCTTCTCTCGCCTTGCAGAACCCGTATATTCAAATAATGCAGCGCGAGCATTAATATAAAAAGATGATTATATAGTTGATGGTGTGATGAATTCCTCTCGCGCTCCACCATGGCCCGCCGACGCTAATACGCCCCATCAGTGAGCGAACGGCATTCGACGCCCATCGACGACTAGCTCTGATGCACAGTTTATGACTCAAATAAAAGACAACAAAGGGCTCTAGCATGTAACAAAACAAATATAATACAAAAAATTTTAAGACATCAATCAATATTGTTTTATAAGCAAAAATAATTTCTTCAAAAATTTAAATAATTAACAAGTATACTAAATTTATAATTTTATTTCATTGTTTATATTTATATATTATTTAGAATAAATGCGTTTTAAATCATTCAAACAATATTGTGTTTATATTATATATATTTATTTTATTGAAATCTAATATTTCATGCAACATGATGCCCCTAATGTTATGTCAATGTTTATGAAATGAGCATGAGCAGTATCAAATTGAGTGGAGTTTTCAATGCAATTTGAATTTTTTTATACGATGTAAATAATCTTAAACGATGTTAAAGTAAATTTAATTTCTGTGCGTGATGGCTGATGCGGTTTATCAACCATAAATGAAATTGTTAATTTTAAAAATTCTTAATTTTTAATATAATATTTTGCAACATTAATTCGATTGTAATGTGTAGTATGATCATTAAAATTCCTTATATTCCCCTTACATGGTCATTCACAAAAGTGGCCTGGTATGTAAGCCAAAATCGAGGTCGCTCCTCTCTATTTCTTGGACCGTTGCATTCAACTAATGCAGAAGAGCTGCACACTAAAAACATACACCCGCTTTCGAACACAACTCGCTCCTTTTGTGCGCCGTAGCCGGCAATAAATACCATTAATGGGCGTGCTTGGTATTTCATATAAGAGAGTGCAGTGCACCATATAAAATAGCCTCTCTCTCTCTCGCACCCTGCCCGACTATCAGCAAAAGTTTTGCTTGCTGCCGCGCGACCCCATCAGCACCCTAATACACATACTTGCTAGACGAGCCGGCTGCGGTCATCTCCTCCGCTGGAAATTAAGCCGAACGTGCCGTTATTACGAGCAGCATTCATTTGGCATTAAGTGAGGAATGCGGGAATTAAGATGGCTAGCTATTTAGGGCATTTAAGGCACTTGCGAGGGTGGTCGGATTATAATCCCTTGCACACGCATGTGCTGCTAATGTCCCCTAGCTTGAATATCTTGCAGGGGTACATTAACTGCAAATTATTTCTAATGAAAATTTACTCCCAAATAGCAAAAGATTCCGTATCTTTAATGTAAAATATTCAAAACAACATGTCTTCAGATCTATTCTGCATTACGTAATTTACGTTGCAAATCAAAATTCCAAATTAAAGCAAAAGATGCAAAAAAATGAATTTTTTTCGGATTTATCTTTAAAAAGATGTAATTGAGATTAATATTTACTGATAAAAAATGCTTTAAAATATCACCAGTCAATTGCTACCCCCTTACAGCACTTGCATAAAAAAGAGTAAAGATTTTATCCAAGATGTGGAGCAGAATTTCTTGTTCTTCAAAACTTAAATTTTATTGTTTGTAAATGAATCAATTATTTTGCCCGAATACCAAAGAATAAGACAAAATCGAAATTAAAAATATTCAAGTTTGGTCTTTAGACGTACAATTAGTTATGTGCAGCCAAAAGACATTTTTTTACGTTGTTCAAAAATCTTTATATGTATAAAAAAAATTAATTTTAATATTATTTTAAAAAATGTAGAAAAAGAAATGAATATTATACAATTATTTAAATTCGATTACTTCATAAATTTTGTGTAATTCAGAAGTATTCGTCCAACAGAAATTTCGTTAAAAAATGCCTAATTACAAGGTTTCCTTTATTCCCTTGGTTAAATCTGCCCACTGGCGCATTACCTCAGCCAGAGATGGTGTTGAGAGTGAATTTGTGCTCGCAATTCATCGCCACTGTGCAAATAAAAGACCGGGCGCAGCAGCGACTAAATTGTAAATTAGATTTGCCGAGAGTGGCTTTTGTGTCCTTTGTGCGCCCGAAAACAAACAAATTTAACGTATCCAATTATGTGATTTAATTAAATTTTGCGAGAGTGCGGCTCATAACAGGCCCGGATCCGTTTCTCGGCGCCAGGCGCAAACAATGAGATAGGGAAGACCTAGTCGGATTGAGGCATCACGTGCTCTAATTAAGCCACAATCCGCCGCATTACCTGTCGGGCCAAATGCGATTTCACGGCAGTTGCGAGCGCACAGGCAACCCCTGTCGGCAGAAAGGGGCGCTCCCCTAATTTGTACTTTTTCTGCGACGAGCCGAATGAATTTTCAATATTGCAAGTGTTTGAATTTAATTTAGTCTCGCCCGCCGCCGCCGCCGTTGCCGATCCCCCAGCTGCAATGCTGGCAAATTAATTTCCTTTTTCCACTTATGGAGTGGCGCAAACCAGCCTTCAGTATTTCTCCCCAGGGTATTTCGCGCCGCCGCATGCATGCGCCTCTCTGCCACCCTCGCACTCTCAATGAATTTAATTCCCTTATAAGCCAAACGACCCGGCTTGATGGCTCTAAAATGGATGTCTAACACTTGTACCACCACTACCTGCAGCCAGATTAACTCCCTAACCAGATAATAAAAGGTTTTGTTATTAACCAAACATCTGCATGGTCGAAATATATGTAGGAGGCTTTGCTCAGAGCGTTGGGTGCCAGATTTTTATATTTTTACTTATCAATTAATTATTCGCATAGTTTCAAAAATTTTGTAGGTTTTTGCTATTTTCCTAAAAGTTACTGTCAAATTGTATAAAAAGTGTAATTAAAAATTAATATTATTTATTCACTTTAAGTATTACATAGTTTGAAGTACAATTGAAAGTATATTGATATATTTAAATATCAATTTTTAATAATAATATTTTATTTTAATATATTTTTGGTGCATTAAAGTTATACTGTGTTCTAAAAAAACCTTATTTGCTAAAAAAATTGAGATAAAATAAATTTTTCTTATATATATTTGTATAATGTAACATGGCACTATTCAATGACTATTAATAGTGCGTTTGATGATAATTTGCTTTCTTGAATTATTCAATGTTAAATGTTAGTATAATTGTATGTAAATTATTCCCTCAAAATGAAAATAGATATTTATCAGAAATGGAAAAACATGGCTAATTTATTACATTCCGCCTTTTGCCGGTATCATGACAATAAAAAATTTCATGTGGTAATACTACAATAATAATTCTGCTGTTTGTAAGCCTAAATTTTGCATTTCTGTCTCTTTCTGCATCTGAAATACACAACAAAAGGAAGGTTGCCAGTTCCCTTTCCTCACTGGAAATTTCAATTTCACGCTGCCGCTGCCGTGATTAACCATTACTGTGGAGGAAGCAAATCGTTAGCTAAGAATTGGCATGCAACATATCAGAGAAGCAAGAAGTCTTCCTGTTTGCTTTTGTCGTCGGCTTTGTCAGGCCCGTCGCGCTGCCAAAATTGCAGCAAAACATACGCGGCGGCCGCACAAAGGAGCGCTCTTTGTGACTTATCTCCAATCTGGCACGCACACTTTTGATTGGAAATTTCCTTTGAGGGCCATTGTGGGAAACGACAGGGAAATCAAACAATAAGCAAACTTGTGTGACTGGAGGTTGAGAGAGTCGCACATAAATATATCTGAAGAGCGAAAGCAGTTTTTCTTCGAAAAGATTTCGTTTGTTTTTCCACTTAACTGTTTGATGTAAGACAAGTGTCCCATTTCCTTGTTTCAGGACTTGGCCACCTTGACGCTGCCAAAGACTACGCTGACGGGCTATCTTTCAATAAGAAAAAGAAGAAGAAGAGAAGGCACAGGTAAGGCGAATGTTTGGCAATTTTTTGCACTTTTTTTCTGAATTTAGAGTATTCAATTTACAAAATATGCATACTTACTTAATTATTTAAATATCTTTATCGCGTACATTTTATAAAATTTATATAAAAATTTTATTTATAAAATTTTATAAAAACTTCTGGCTGTGTAAAATTTATACTATTTTTTTTTTTTTTTTTTTTTTTTTTTTTTTTTTTTTTTTTTTTTTTTTTTAGTTTTGTAGATGAAGGTGTGTTTTTTTTCTTTTACTTTTCTTGAAGGAAGAAATTTCAAAATAAATTTCCCTTGTTGTAGGACAATATTCACAAGTTACCAGTTGGAGGAGTTGGAAAAGGCTTTCAAAGATGCTCACTACCCTGACGTCTACGCCCGCGAAATGCTGTCCCTAAAAACAGATCTCCCTGAGGATAGAATCCAGGTAGGAAAACAAATTTTATTTAAAAAAAACCTTTGCAATTGATCTGCTGTGATTATAAAATGCAGATACTGGTGGGATTCAAAAGTTGTACTAAAATTTTGAGGATTTGAGGAAAAGGTCTCTTGATGGACAAGTGCAAAACATGTTTGCGCCGCGCAGCGAGTTGTTGATTTTCCGCCCACTTAGGATGTGATTGACCCGGGTATTTCTTATTCTTAAGAAGCGAGCACATCCTCCCCACATTCAATTGAAAAGTGCAGTTTTTCAATGGGCAGAAGGAGCGATCGACTTTCTTTTTTCCCGTTGGTTAGCGTTCGGATATCTGATATCGTTGAAAAGAAAGCGGCAGCTTCTCGAGAGAGTACCTCAAGCGCAGTTCAATAGACTTGTTGCTGCCAACTTTTTTTTATCCCATATTGACCCAAACCCCCGAATAAACTTGCTTTCGGGGAAGAGGCGTCGTTGACAACAACAACAACCGCCGCTTTTCTTCGCCCTGGCTCGGATCAATAAGGTAGACAAACTTCCGCAAATCATTTGATACCTCCACACCCGCCCTCTCAGCACTGATTTCTCTGATTGTCAGTCAAATCCAGTTTTGATCATTCATCTCGAAGCAAGCCGGGTAAAATTTATTGTTGCTGACATCCAATTTCCCGCCGTAAATTATATCTTCACCCACTGAATTTAGCGCATGTCACTTTAAATTTGATCAACGGCTAACAATACAAAAAAAAATGAAGAAATCCGGCTTTTCCTCGGTGTAAAAATTGTTTTTATTCAAATAACAAGTTTTGGCCTCGATCTGTGACCAAATTCAAGTACCAACATATTTCCTTTGATTTTATCAATTATATTATTAGTTCTCATAATTTTTTTAATTTTTTAATAATTATTATTTTTTATCAACATAATGTCTTTTTGCATTAAAAAGTTGTAATTCTAAGTATGAAATTATAAATTTTAATTTAATTAAATAATATTCTTTTATTTGAAAATCATTTGAGCACAATTTTTTAATTTTATGCTAAATATCATGTTTATTTAAATTTTAATTATTAAAGAAATTAATTTTAAATAATTATTATGAAAAAAGCATTCATAACATCATTAAATAATTAATCTCATTATTGCTTAGCTCACACTAGATACAGATTGTCTATGTTACACATATCAATAAAATCATACAACAATTATTTAAATTTAATGAAATATTAATTTCACGACTGTATCAATATACCACAATATAAATCTAATTAAGGTCCTGAGCAGGTCCTGAGGATATTTAAATATAGAAATATCAAATATTTGAATTCAAAATAATGAGGAATGAATTAAATTTTCTGTATTTTCATTTCAAATTATTATTTTTTTCATAATTAAATAACATGAATTTGCATATTTGGAAAAAAATCAAAGTAACCAAACTGATGTTTCGGTTGTACGTTTTATTTGGAAATTAAATTAATCACCGAAGCTTTCGCTGCCTGGATCTGGTGTGCAGATATGAATTAGCATGAGAGATTTAATGTCGCCATGGCAACCGAAGGGAAAAAAACAATGGTCATGCATGCGAATTTGTGGCTGATGATGGTGCTCTCGTCGACGACGCCGAGCAACGCCCTCCTCCGAGACTCGCAGGTTGCTGCTGCTCGAGAGGAGGAGGAGGAAAATAATCATGGCAAAAAGTAAATGTGTATGCACGCGAGATGGGTGCTGCTGTCTTTTTCTTCTCAGCCTCCTTTTGTTCTTAGTTTATCGAGCCGAGAGAATACACCGTATTATCCACATTTGAAAAAATACATACATAAGAAGAAGAAGCAGCGCATTATAAGCTGCTCTGACAAAAAGAAAGAAAGAAAGGACCCGTCGCATGTGTGTGTGTATGTATGGGCGAGCATTATTATCTCAGGAGGAGAAAAAGAAGCTGTTAAAAGGTATAGGCACATATAAATATGTATGCATTATTATCGTGCAGCGCCACCCTCTTTTATTCCTCCCTTACGGGGCCTGTTTTTGTAGAAGAGAGCATCTTGCCAGACTGTTTTATGCAGATGAAGGGGGGTTGCTGCCTGCGCTTGCGAGGGAGAGTGCGTGTTTGTACGAACGTGTGTGTGTGTGTTTTTCGCACTCTCTCGCTCGCAGCAGGGATGGAGGTGGGAAAAATAAGCGAGGGGATGTTTTATGAATAAAAAAGGGTGTAGTATTTAATGCAAACGAACGCATGCGCCGGATTCCATGGGCCTTGATTGGCCGCTAAGCAGCCATAATAAATTTCGCGATGCGAGCACACACTGCATGCACCACCGAGCGCATGTGTGTGTGTATCAAGTACCGTGCACATTGCCTGATTATCGTACATAGTCATTACGGTATTATTTCCACCCCCTGCGTTGTGAATAAATCAGGCCCGAGTGCCGCTGTTTGCCGAGCTAAACTGATTATCATCCCAACCGACCGGCGCTCCATCGCCGTCGAGTGTAAATGTGCAGCTCTCAGGCCCCGTTCTGTTTGTTTATTCCAATCACCAGAATAAACTGATGCGCGAAACGCGATTGCCGCTGATTTGTTTGCTCGCCTGTACCCTGATTGCAGCTATTTAACACTCGGTTTGCTTTTTTCGCATCAAGTGCAAAATATAAATGTGCTGCAAACTGCAGACAAAAAAAGTTATTGGGGACAAGCTACTGCAATCAATCACCACGATATAGAAAATAAAACTAAAGTTGGTGTATTTTTACACAACTCTGATTACAAAATATATCTTGATGCAACGATTTATCAATTTTTCTATGAGAATATCGTAAATTTAAAATAAATATCAGCGTTTATTTTGTATGGTTTTGATTATTTTTTTGAACATTGCGATTAATATAATATGTAATTAGTCCATCCTTCACGAACATTATGACTTACGATACGGCCTAAAATGTGGAAAAATGAATATTGTGCAATATATTCTTCTAAATATGCATATTATTTACTATTTATTAATCCCTTTACAATTTATGTAAAAAAATTGTGTTAAATGTTAAACTTAAATTGCATTTTCATGGCTATTATATTTTAAGATTTTTAAGTAAAAAATCCTTGAATAAAATTATGAAAAGGAATAAAATTATTTTAATTGACTTATGTCAAGATTCGCTCATGAAAACAAAGAATCAAATTTTATACTATTTGTTGGAGGTTCTGATTGGGTGCAAGAAAAATTTCATCCACTCAAAACGGTCAGTAACAATATTAATTTTTTCTGCTTATTATGATCCACAAACCTTGGCTAATGGGAAAATATTTTATTTTAAATAGTTTGTTTTAAATTATTAATACATTGATTCAAGTTGGGTAATTTAGAATGTTTATGTCTGCCTTGGCTGTAATAAGCAATCACACAGTCAACCAAACTAGATGAGCCGGTTATCCGACTTCAGAAATAATTTTGATTAGAAAAGATTAATATATAAAAATATTCTGAAGTGCTTCGCCTTTATTGAATGTAATATCGGCCAATCAAGCAGGCTGCTGCCGTGCTCAAATTAGTAATTTCCGATCAGCTCCTTAGGGGTATGCAACCGTTGCGGTATCCTTGTGAGGCGGACTGCCTGAACACGATAAAGGCTTATTACTCGGGCAAAGTAAGTCTTTGTGGTTGTCTCTCTGCCGTCGGAGAAAAGCGGTGCGCTGGCACGCATTCTCTGATTGGCCCCGATCGGAAATTGGCCATAAAAGAACCTCTCGCCCGCAGGATGACGGAGAAATAAATAACACGCAGGCACCGACATAAAATTTGCTTACAAAGAACTGCTCGCTTGGGTGTGGAACGAATATTGCAAGTGATTTCAGGAATTGTGAAGTACAGGAAGAGGAAATAATATTTTATTATATTGATTCCCAGTCGGAGGCTCTCTATCTGTATCTCATCAACTTGCTTAAATAAGATATTGCTACACAACTGCTTTGAAAGCGGCTTAAATAACCGACCAGCTTGCAGCACTAATCCGAACCAAACGAAAGTTAGTTCGATAGTCTGCGTCAGCTCGTTTAAATGAATCAAAGCACTTTTATGCCCTTGCAGCATTTTGTTGAAAAGATTATTTTGCGAGGCATTATGAATTGCAAGTTCTAAATGCTGATTGATAACCATAATCACTTTATGTTGCCATTTTCTTAATTCAGAGCACCAAAAAAAAATTATTAAAAAAAGAATTATTAAATTCTTTTCCCTGAATTTTTGAACAGTTTTATACAATCCAGACATGATTTATAGCTGTCGTCAATTTTAATTCCTGAATATGATTTTTTTTTTCAAACATCTATGTCACGCTTGATGAAATTCAAACCACACAATGCAAAAAAAAACTCCAATAAAAATGTGTGCTCTGCCAATAAATTATTCAATGATCCCCAAAAGAGAATTTCATCGCATATTAATTTCTAAACAAATGCAATTTTATATAACAATACCCCAACGTTGATAAAAAAAATTGCTATATTTTTTATTTTGAAGCAGAAAAGTGTAATTTAAATCTGACGATCACATCCGGCTCATGTGAGACTGATTTCCCATCTCAAGATTTCCCGATTTGCCGATGGGATCCGGCAGTGCAAAATCGAAGCAGCAATTGGCTCGCCCGGCGCAGGGCATTTCCGATCGTTGAGCGTCAGGGCGCATGACTAGAGCTGTATTGTGCTTTAAATGGAAACCGCTGTGCCGTTACATTATGGAATAATGGCTTGTTAGGCTTAAAACAAAGGCGATCACTGCTCGGCTGAAACAATGATGCCGGGATATTGGTTGACGCTGACGTCAGGCGAATCGATCAGCAGCAGCCATATTAGCAGGCGCTCTCTCGCTCTGCGTCGGTCGGATTCGCAGCCACCGCCAGCCAAGCCACTTTTCCAAACGAAATTTCCTGACAGCCAATCACGCTTTCCTCCTAATTACGTTGTCTCAGATCCCAGCAATCGTACCGTGAGCGAACGCTCTGTTTTTCTCAACT